GAGGATGTACACTGGTACAGATAAGAGCTGGAAACACAGGGAATCCAGGACAAATAACCCCCTTGGGACCAATAATGAGAGTAGCAATACCAGGAGAGTAAGGGAAAGGTGGGGCGAGAAAGGGGTTACTGATCGCAATGATCTACATATATCCCCCTACCTGGGGGATGGACAACAGAAAAGTAGGTGAAGGGAGACATCGGTCTGTGTAAGACATGACAAAATAATAATTTATAAATTATCAAGAGTTTGCAAGGGAGGGAGAGTGGGAGAGCGAGGGGGGGTAGGAATGAGGAGCTGATACCAAGGGCTCAAGTAGAAAGAAAATGTTTTCAAAATGATGATGGCAACAAACATACAAATGTGCTTGACACAATGGATGTCTGCATGGATTGTGATAAGAGTTGTACGAGCCCACAATAAAATGATTTTTAATAAATAAATAAGAACTGTAAGAGCCCCCAATAAAATGATCTTTAAAAAAAAGATTTAGAGCCTTGGAAACTCAGTCCCAGAGGCAGTTCTACTCTGTCCTGTAGGGTCTCCATGAGGCAGAATGGACTGGCTGGCAGAGAACTAGAGAAAGACAGAGAAAGAGAGAGATAGGTTTTGCCAGCATTAGAAGCCACAAAATCAAGGTAAGGTATACATCTCAAAGTTTACACAGATATTCCTTTGGAAAGAAAGGTGAATCATTGTTTATTTAGAGCATTGGCTATCTTTTTAATTATTAGAGATTTGCTCATAAGAAATTAAAAATTGTAGCATAGTAAAACATTAGCAAAGTTGGCTTGACTTAGAAAATTATGGGAGCTTAAGGCACAAAGAGATCGTCAAGGAGCTCATTCGAGAATTCAATATTAATAGGAAATTATATAGGGATTCGCCTGCCCAGTCATATCATACACTTTTTGGCTTGCGGATTTAATCGGGTATTGCAGGTTTTGCTTCTACCATGCAGTAGAAGCAGGAAGCATGGTATTCAGGAAAGGAAAATAACTTGCATTCGTTTGAGAATCTAGATCATAAAAACAGTCAGATAAACCAGATTAGACGGGTTCAAATCCCTGCTCCTACAGTAAATGCCTGTGTATCATTATCAAATTATTTAATTTCAATAAGTTTTGGTTTTCTCATTTGTTAATAGGTGATAAACAACCTTCCTATGCTAAGGTTGTTTAATGGTTAAATGAGATAATTAAAACATGTTGTTATTAAGGGCTGTCAAGTCAGCCTCCATCCCCCCTCCAGCCTCACTGTGATCCCCATACATATTGGAATGAAACCCTGCTCAGTCCTGCACCATTCCCATAATTATTTGTGTATCAAATAATTGTTATCTATAGGGTTTTCATTGACTGACTTCCAGAAATTTGTTGCCAGGCCTTTCTTCCCAATCCATCTTAGCCTGGAAGACCCATCTTTTATCACCATAGCAACATGGGCATCTCCAATGACACACAAGTTGGGGCTGCACATGAGTTACATTAGTCAGGAATCAAATCTAATTTCTCCTCATGGAAAATGAGAATTCTTTAACTGATTCACCAAGTACACTGTACAGAAAATTTGGATTTAATATTCATTCTATTTTGTCTTCTCCAAACTCTCCCACTTACATCGTGATTTTAAATAAGTTTCCTAAGTTTAAAGTTACTCGTCTGTAAAGCAGAAATAAGAATACTGGGGCTAATTACACTACAATGTCAAATTAGATAAGACATATTTTTCTTTGTGTCTATTTTAGCACCTAGACTAATGCTTAGTACATAGTGAGGGCATCACTAGCATTTGTTGACTGCATATTTTGTAAATTTGAAGTCATGGGTAAAGAAGACTGGATTTTGGAGTTAAAAGGATTGCCGCTTCTGTCTTGGCTATGCTCCAAGAGATAATCGGTAAATGGGATTGTTAATCCTAAAGAGTTTCTGTAGCATTAAATGAAAGAATGCATATGAAACTCTTTGTAAATTATAAAGCACTAAATTTAAGGTGTTATTATGAGCAGCTGTTAGTGTGTGTGTGTGTGTGTGTGTGTGTGTGTGTGTGTGCGCGCGCACGCGCATGCATGCGCAGCTTTGGTGGTGTAGTGGGTTCTACATTGAGCCGTAAAAGATTTAAAGGCTGTCCTATAGGGTTGCTATGAGTCAGGAATGGACTCGATGGTAGTGACTTTTTAAATATATATATAGGTCTACTAATGCTTATTGGTTAATATAGGTAAGGGTAACAGGTAAATAAGCATGCGTGTTTTACTACAAAAATGAAAACACTAGCAATTGTATTGTTCTAATACATATTTTGAATGGGAGTACCGATACCATGACGGTATGGGTATGGGGAGAGTGGGTGGAGAAGGGGAAGAAGGGGGAATTGATTAGCAATGATGGGTGTATAACTTCCCCAACCCCACCAGGGGACAAATAACAGATATGTGGGTGGAAGGACACAGCGGACAGTGTAA